GTGATCCACCAGGATGGACAACTGCCTCTGTCTGCCGAACGTGGTCTTAAAAGAGAATATCAAAGAATTGTTTCACACAGAAATTTTATTCAAAACAAAACTACTAACTGAGGTAATTTTAGTGCTTAAACAACTACTTTTTTGGTTTTCTTTGACAAGGGCCATCTAAACAACAAAAACTCTTTAGAGCATGGAATAGAAATGGAGAATTACACTATCTCAGCCTCCCCCAGTAGCCTTACTACCTCGGGACAGAGTAAGAAATCATCATTAATTCCCAGAAATTCCCTGGCATCCAGAACAGCCCCATGAGAACGGTGGCAGTCACTGCAAGGGAGCAGAAGCCAGGAGGAACCTCCCTCCAAGGTTTCTCTTTTAAAGGCCACAACACCCCACAGAACGGGGCCTCTGCTCTGCACCAACAGTCACGACTGACCATCCCTGTGCTGCTGCTGCAGGCACAATCCAGTCTGGAGACACACAGTGACCAGCTGTCTACAGAGGAACTTCAGATTCCTCTCAGCCTTAGCTACAGCATGATAAGGGGCAGGCAGCCTCTTAAGAACACAGAAAGCACAGAATATCTTATTCCCCTTATAAATACTCACACCTAAACGTGACCAAGCTAGAAAATTCAATATTCAGAATTCAAATACATGTGATTCAGTACACCTTGAACTCCCGAGTACCAAACAAGCACCATTGAAGTGCTACATTCTGCAGGAAATCTAACCACTTCCACTGCTGGATGTAAGAGAATTGCTCAGTTCACAGATGGATCAAGTCTGGGATTCTTCCAGTCTCAAAGTAAGAGATTGCTGGAAATAACATAAAATAGTCACAACAAAAAACAACACAAATACATGGGATCCAATACTGCTGTAAGAGGTAAAATAATTCATGGACAAGTTTTAAAATAGTATGTGCTTAATAATACAATTATCAGAACATCTGGATCTCTCTAACTTCTTTAATTGGAGGAATTAAAAGTACTTCCAAATAATTAAACTCAATTAGGCCATCCAAATTGTTTGTATGATTGCTGAAAACCTCCAAATTGCAGCCTCTTATAGAAATGGTTTCATGTGGATTTGTTTTCATTTGACTGTAGATATTTCATTCTGAAAATTTTCTGTTGACTTACCAGAGAAATCACAGCCAACACTACTGCTTTCTTTTTCAGAATCAAGAAACACCTAAGAATTCCTGTCTTCCTGTCCTACCCTTTGTGGGCTTTTCAAGCAAAAAGCATTATCCCATGATGTAAGGTTCTCAATGTTAATTAACGCAAATATCAGAGTCAGATTTGATTTAAACTAACATGAAGAGAATTAGAATTCATTATTATTATTTGGAGGAAACACCTGATATTTTCAAAAACAGTTCTCATAATTCTGACTTAGTCATTCAGACATAGGATGCTTTGTGAAACTTTCAATTAGTTCACGGGAACTGAAGTTACAGTCACAGGAACTGGTAATGAGTTACGAAATTAATGAATTTTTATTGCTAAATTAAGACTTACCAGCTTTTCTCATCAGCCTGCCCTAAAAAAGGAGGACGCTGGTGAAACTGGAAGGACAAAAGAACCATTGTTCGAAAAATACAGCCATTTTTACTATGACAGAAGCAACAATACACTTGAAGCTATCACAGCACTTTAACCAACACAGTAAATTCAGCACATACCTTACAACAGAGAGAAAAGCACTAAAGGAGCATTAAGCAAGGTTAGAAAATATCAGAATTAAATTGGTCCTTGCCAACAACATGCACGTACAGTGAAGTTTTCCCTGTCAAAGCTACATACATACAAGTTCTTCTGGGCCCAGGAACTACTGCCTCAAGCACAAGCCCAAAAGCCTTACAATTCCTGAAATTCAGTGGCACTTTGGAAAGCACCCCCCTCTCAGATGAGGCAAGCAGCTCAGAGGACACAAAAATACAGGTGTATGGAATCAAGGGCTACACTGTAAACCACACAACAAAAGTTAAACCTGACTCTGCAGTAACCTTCAGCACTTTACACCTGATTTTCCAATGTGTACAGGCAAAGCTGCCCATAAATAACTTTGGGCATTTCTTCCCACTCTGCATCCTAGAACTCACAAACCAAAGCCTGAGGTGCTGCATCCCTCTGTCAGGGACTGAGCAGGGCAGAAACATGGATGGGAAAGGTGGGGTGTGCTGGACCACAGCTACAAGCAGCAAGACACCCCTGAAGTAAACACACTAAGCACATTTATGACAGAGGTCACAAAGACATTACATGGTTCAAGACACAGACAAGAACATCGGGGCTTTTGGCAAATATCCACAAACCAGACTGCACAAACTACATATAGATATCAAATTTTCACACATTTGTGTCTCAATCAACTCAAAATGTGTTTCAGAGCAGAAGACAACACAAAGCAATCTCATGTCCACACAGTTATGTACATGCTTCAACTTCCTCATTTCCCTCCTACTTGTGAAAAAACCCCAAGCTTGTACATCTATATTAAACAATCTTAAATTCTATTTGAAGCCAAACAAGATTATGATGCTTACAGGAATAACAAAAATCATATGAACATACAGAAACTTTGTCCTGACACACACCCAGTGACAACATTCCAAGTAGTTCCATAGCCTGGGCTGCACCTTCCAAAATTCCATAAGCTACACAGCTAATACCAATAACTGTCATTCACATCCCTCAAGCCCCCCATATCTCTGACTTTTTGCATTTCGATGCCACCACATCACTACTGACCTAAATCTCCATCTCACACCTTTCACGAAACTGAACACTGATGCACACAAAGGAAAATCAGCGTTAGACCTGTTAAGACGAAGGAACAATTCCTCTCAATTCACTTTAACCTTATCACTAGGAATTTGGCTGTCAGCCAGCCAGAGTCCACACTACTCGTTATCCTGCAATACCAACCAGCACCTCGGAGCACAGCCAGCCTCAGGAACCACACACCGGGCTGAGACGCGAAACGCCCAAGCAAGGGTCGAGCTTTCCCCGGGCCAGGGGTGACGCTCGGGAAGCGCTCCAACAGCTTCCGCTCCGCTCCCTCCCGCGGGGTCGGGCAGCGCCGAGGCCGCGGCGGCTCCAGCCGAGCCCAGCCCTGGCTCCGCCTGAGCCGCGCCGAGGACCGCGCCCCGCCTCGCCACTCCAAGGGTGGAGGCAAATAAGAGCTGCGCAATGAAGCGCTGAGTGCTCAGCGGCTGCACAGCCCGGGCGCCCGGCGGCGGGGAGAGCCCGGGGGGCGCTGCGGCCGCGCCCTAGGGCAAACCTGTGGCCTGGGGGCCCCGGCGGTGACCTACGGCCCAGCCCAGCCCAGCCCGGCCCGGCCTGGCCCGGCACTCACCTGCGGCCCGGCCCCGCGCTCACCTACGGCTCGGCCCGGCCCCGCGCTCACCTACGGCTCGGCCCGGCCCCGCGCTCACCTGCGGCACGGCCCGGCCCGGCCCGGCCCGGCACTCACCTGCGGCCCGGCCCCGCGGCCCGGCCCCGCCTAGGCCCACGCCATGGCGCGTTCCGTGCGCTCGGCGCCCGCGCCGGAAGTTCCGCCTGACGGCGCGCGGCCGCAGGCACCGCTCCGAGGCAGTCCATTGGCCTCTCGGGCTGTCACTCAGCCAAGGAGGGGCGGGGCGTGGCTCCACATTGGACCCGCCCGCGGGGGGAGGGCGGTGCCCTCCCGCCCCGCCGCCAGGGGGCGCGCGGCGCCGGGCGGGGCCACAGCGGCGCCTCAGGACGGCCCGGCCCCGGGGAGGGAGCTGTGCCGGGACGGAGCCGTGCCGGGGCCCCGCCGTGCCGGGACGGAGCCGTGCCGGGGCCCCGCCGTGCCGACACAGAACTCCTGCAGCCTGCGGTAGGAGACAGTGCGAGATCCCTTCGTTACCGGGGCTGTAAATGGAAATGGGCTTGAACTGCAGACCTACAGATAGCAGAATTATCAGGAAGCGCAGGAAACACAGANGTGCCGGGGCCCCGCCGTGCCGGGAGGGAGCCGTGCCGGGGCCCCGCCGTGCCGGGACGGAGCCGTGCCGGGGCCCCGCCGTGCCGGGAGGGAGCTCCTGCAGCCTGCGGTAGGAGACAGTGCGGGGCTGGAATTCCACCGGCATGTGTGCGTGCAGTTCCTACGGCTGGGGGAGGTCTTGTCCTAAACAGCAACGCCAAACTCGGCCAAGAAAGGAGACAGAATTAATCTGAGTGTAAGGACCCCCACCGGCCTCTCGGGAGCTTGTACCTATTTCCCAGCCATAACATAGCAGACACTTCCTGTAGATATATCTATGGCAATTTATAAGCTTATAAATTGAAAAAATTATGCTGGAACACGTCTATTGGCAGGCACAGCATTTCACCTGGGAGTGCGGGACGGCCGCACAGTGCCCGTGACTGTCGGCCGCGTGGAAAAACACAGCATTGTCTGAGGAAAAGCCATTGTCTCCATCTGGTAACAAAATGCAGTAACGTGTTTCTCCACCCGCTATTCTGTTATAAAATGAACCCTTCAAAAGTTGACCAGCCTTTCTGTTTAATAAAATGAGCTATTTCTTAAAGGAAAGAAGAGTTACGAGAAGATGTTATGCATCATTTTAGTACCTTACCACCCTGTTTTTGTTTTTTCTTTTTTTAACATGGTTGGAACATGCATTTTGCTGTGGTTTCAGCACACTGGAGCAGCAGCACCAGCGTTTGGGCGGCACAGCGCAGCGAGATCCCTTCGTTACCGGGGCTGTAAATGGAAATGGGCTTGAACTGCAGACCTACAGATAGCAGAATTATCAGGAAGCGCAGGAAACACAGAATTATAATTTTATTCTGTTGCAGCAACACGTACTTGGAAGGGGACCCGTCACCCCGGCCACCCCCAGCGCAGCCCGTGCGCGCTGTCCGGGGCCATCCCCGGCCGGTCCGGGACAGCCCCTCCTGCGGGGCGGGAGCGGCCGCGCCCCCGGCCCGGCCCCGCGCAGGCGCCGCCGGAGCCCCGCCCGTGCCCGGCGGTGGCGGATGCCGCGATGCTGCTGGTGCTGTCGGCGGAGCACCGGGCGCACCTGGGCTGCTTGCCGCGGGCGGGCGGCGCAGGTCGGGGCCGCGAGGGGCCCGCGGGCGGTGGGGGCCGGGCCGGGGCTGCAGCGCGTCCTGCAGCGGGGTCTCTTCTCTCTCGTTACAGCCGTGGGCGAGCTGGGCCGCCTGGCGCTGGAGCAGCTGCGGCGGGGAGCGGCACCGCGGGCCTGCGAGGCCGCCGCCAGTGAGAGCCGGGCCGGGCCCGGGGGGTTCGCGGGGCCGTGGGGAGCGGGCGGATGGGACCGGGGCGCGGCCGTAGCGGTTCCGCGGCAGGACAGCGAGGGACGCGGCGGGCTCTGCGCCGAAGGACCCCCGAGCCCCCGCTGCACGGCGGGGCGGGGCCGAGGGAGCGGGGTCGGGCTGCGCTCCCTGCCCAATGTGGGGGGCTGCGGGGCCCTCCTTACCGACACAAACCCTTCTCTGTACCATGCCGTAAGAAACTGGTTTGGGTTTTTCTTAGTTTTTTTGTTTTGATGGTTTGGTTTTAGGGGGTCTCTAACATGTACATTATTATTTGAAAGGCGTGAAACCCTCTTTTTTTTTCTTTTCTATACGTATTTTGCAAGTTAGTGTTGGATAAGTTTGCAGTTTTGAGTCTCGTTGCTGTAGTAGTTAACGAGGAAGTAAAAGGCACTTTGTGCTTTCTTTAAAGGAAAGCTGGACATTGGCGTTGACACCATTCAGCATGGAGTAGAGGGACTAACCTATCTTCTTACTGAGAGCTCCAAGCTTATGGTAAGGATACCTTTGTGTAAGTATTTCAGGAATGCACTCAGGAGATGTCTTCTGAACACTTAGACCTCTGAAAATACTGGTGAATGGGAAAAATGTAGCTCAAAATTTTGATGACATGTATTATTTTAATTTCAGAGACAGGTGTCTCAGACTGTTGTCTTATTGAAACACTGCTTTTTTGTGGATGCCTGGAATTTGTATTCAGTATCTGAAGCTAAAACTTGACAACATTTTAATAGCATAATTTACTCCATATAGAGAAGCATCCTTCAGGATTGAGCTCTAAATAATAAAACTCAAGCCAAGATTTTGTTGTCCAGCTACTGTACAGGACATGGGCTGGACTAACCCCCTATTCATCATTCCTTGTCTTTGTCTCATGTGGTGGGTTTGAGAGCTTTTTCAGCTCCTGCTATCAAAGTTTTGGGTGGGTGTAAGCAGATACTAAAAGAATAATAGCTGGATAGTGGCTGTTTCCGTTGTAACTTGATATAGTAGAATATTTGAACAATGACTACATGGAGAAGGGATACAGAGACAGATTAAATTCAGGCAAGTGTTGCTCCCAAGAGCAGGTGGGGAGGGGGTAGAAATGTTGCAGAGCCTTTCCTTAAAGCAAGGGGACTTGACTGACAGGTTACAGGGTATTGTGGTAGAATTGACTGGTCACAGACTGTGTTTGCAGGATGGTGCATTGGAGAGGTACAATGGCATTTTCCATGGAGTCAATAACTGCTGCCCCAGTGCTGGGCCAGGCTGCTGCAGTCAGCACAAGGACTGTGACCTGGGGCAGGAGCCTGAGCATTGTGCCTGGTGCTGCTCACACCACATCACTGCCCGTTGTTTGTAGTCTGGATATCAGTGGCACAGGAACACCCCTGATAAATGGATTCCTGCAGTGTGTCCTGCCTCGTGACACAGCTTGGGCGCTCCCCTGCGCTGTGTTTTGCTCTCTGATACAAAGGCTTTACATGTGAGGGGGTTGAATGTTCTTCTTTCAAAAAATGATCTACTACTGTCCTGAAACTCATGCAAATCTGCAGTAGTATGTCAACATCTGTAAATCCCTTAAAACCTGGATATTTGTTTTGTCCAAGGTGTAGAATTGTACTTGGACATTCCTGCAGGAAAATAACTGCACATCATGCGTGATGTTTAGTTACAGTTTTATTTGGTTTTCGACAAATAATGATGATTACACAGTTCCATATTAAGGCCTAAATTGTTATTTCTAGATTTCTGAGATTGACTTTCAAGATTCCATTCATGTTCTGGGGTTCTCAGATGAATTGAACAAATCCTTGCTCCAGCTGTACCTTGACAACAGGAAGGAGATCAGGAGCATTCTTGGAGAGCTGGCACCAAGGCTGCCCAGCTACCACAATCTGGAGTGGAGACTGGATGTGCAGGTGACTTCCCCGATGCTTTTAGTATTCCATATTTTACTTCATGTTTTTTTAACATCATAAAAAACTTACAAACAGTGTAAAAGTAATTGAGGTAGCAGTACTTCACACATTTAAAACTGACATGACTTTGTTAATGCCTCACAGCCAGCCAGTTGTAAGATGAACAGGATATGCCATGGTGCAAAGTACTTGTTGTCTGATGAAAACTGAATTTGTGGCTTCGTTGGTGTTTTAAAAGTGTTAGCATATACTAAATATATTTGGTCTTAATTATCACCTAATTTTCAGAAATATTATGAAAGCATTGATTAAAGTGGATTAGTATTCTGTAATGAATTAGTATTCTGTAATGCTATTAGTACTCAGTAATAGCTTGTGTGTATCTTTAATGTGGATAAAAAGGGTTTCTGAACAGTCCTCCAAGCAGATCCTGCAAACCTGGTGGGAATTGTAGGTACGAACATCAATAACCGTTGTTTGTTTCCCTGTTCCCATCTCACCAAACCGCTCCTGAAGCTTGCAAGCAGAAGTTTGAGACAACAGATCAAGCCTGCTGTGACCATGAAGCTATATCTTAACCAGAATGAAGATCAAACTGCCCAGGTGTTGCAAACTGACCCTGCTACCCTTCTCCACCTGATCCAGCAACTGGAGCAGGCACTGGGGGAGATGAAGACGAACCACTGCAGGAGAATAGTGCGCAACATGAAATAGCCTCAATTCCTGCCTGCTCTCCTACTGAGCAGGTTGTGAAACAGCTCAAAACAATGCTCACAAATACACTTTGAGGAAAAATAAACATCTGGATCAGATGAACTGCTTTCCTGTGCCAGGATCTTGAGCCAGTAATTACAGGCCAAATGTCCTCGGCTGCCAGCTTTGCAAATCTGACAGATACAAGAGAGGTAATTGGGTTTGCATTACTTGCAAATGGAGGCATTCAGCATACTATGCTGAGAATTCCTTTAGCTCTAAATTAGTATGGATCTGCTTGAGCTTTCCTACCTTTGGTAGAACTGTCTCAATATTATTTGAAGCTGCATATTTACTGTTACATTTATAAAGTAATTTTTTCTCTTTTGCTTCTCTTTAAAATATTTTTTAAACCCTTATACTGGTGAGAATGATACTTTGCAGGAAGACTTCTCCCATGTAGACTCAGGTGTGTGTAAAAGCCGATGTGGGACTGCTGCCCTTTTCCTCCTGAGGACTGGGTCAGTGGGGGCTGGTGTGACACTGCTGCTCTGCCCTTCTCACCTATAACCGAGCCAACACTCCTGTTAGCAGAGCCTGCTGTGACCCCGCAGGACAGCTGAGGCTTTCTGCAGCCAGCCCAGTGGCCTGCACTGGGTTGGCAAACTGGTTATATGTGAAGGTGGTCTGAAAACTTGCAAAAGCAGAGCTATGGGTGAGGAGGCAGGTTAAGAATAGTGTTAACCTCTGCTAACTCTGGTCTCTGTGCCCCGATGCCATGGTTTGTGTTCCACTGTTCAGATAGTGCTCATAAAGGCAAGACCAGCTATTGCAACCAAAATTATGCTTTTCCATTGTTAAGAAAAATGTCTAATAAAGATGATGTCAAATGTCACTTTTCAGTTGTATTCTAATGCAGTATTTTGCAGCTTTTGTGATTGAGATTAAATGGTTTTAGTAATCCATGCTTTAGTGTCACTGCTGAGGGTGCATCATAAAGGCCTTAAAGTATATAGGACAGGACAAGAAGGCGAGAGAGAACCATAACATACAGATTCTGGCAATAACTATTCACCGTCTTTCATGGCAACACCATAAACTTCTGTATTAATTGTGTTTTTACATTCAAAACTGCATTCTTTCTGTTTTGGATTTTTGTACTTCTGTACTACTATTTCAAATTAAACCTGCATGACTGAAGTGCTTTAAAAAAAGTTTTCTGGAACGTGGAGTTGCCTGTTCCGCAGCTGCTGTGCAGTGTGGCGATGGTGTGAACAAACTGAATTGCCTTTCTCTGTGAATCAGCAACGTGTTTCTTTTATCATCCCTGTGTGGTGACCTTTTTCATAGAATCATTTTCATATATAGTACATGGTAATTAAATGTTACTACTTGGGATTTTTGTTTCGTATTTTTTTATGTAATTTGCCTCTTTTTTCAGTGAGACACAAGAACAGCCAAAAAGTAGGTGAGTGGTTTCCCTCATTCCATCTTTTCTCACTACATCCACAGTCTGTAACTCAGGGCAGCAAGACAGGAATTTTAGATACAAATCCTTGAAGCTTTTTGTGTCATTGCCTGATGAACTTGAATATATTCACATTTTTGTCTCTTAAAGTTTTTTAAAAAACCCAGCTGCTCTAGAGCTGATTGGCATCATGGTAAGTGCTGGCAACCTACGTGTCACATCCTGAAGCATGTGCTAGCTATAGAGGGAGAGGGTTTCCCTTGGGGATCCTGAGTAAAATGGACAGTTGAAGGCAGATGCTGAGAATGGAAAATGAAACACCTTTTCCCTTTACAAAAAATTACCTCAGTTGAGGATGGTCAAAGTTAAACTTTGAATCTGGGTGAAACTGAGAGAAACTCAAACTCTGACAGTGATCCACGAACAGACAAGAGAGAGAGAGGGAGAAAGATCCTTTACACCAAGTGTGTTGCTTTTGAATTTTTACCTTTCAGTTTGTTCTGGGGGAAGAACTGAGCCTGGAAAAGCAGCTGCTTGGCAGCAGGATTTGGGCTTCATTATTGGAAAGGCAGATTTGCCTTTAGGTGAGGTTGGAACTGGTCTAACTACACCTCTGCAAGTTGTCCCTTTCCTTGTTTTCACAGCACCTGTGACAGCTGCCCAGGGCTTGGCACCTGAAGTGCCAAGTGTGACCACGCAGTGCTGCCCGCACCTCGGAGGGCAGGGAAAAGGCATCTGCATCAGTAACCCAGGGATACTGGTAAAATAAGAATTCACCTTTGCATCTGGTTTTTTAGATTTTTCAATCTGGATTTTTTCAGTTTTGTTGTAAACTCCCAAGTGAAAGGTGGCATATAAAGCTATATTTAATATATCTTCTCTAATGAATTTGCACTTGCTTTATAGAAACAGGATATGGAGACTACCAAATCTGATTATAATTAAACTACTAGCTTTGTTTCCTGGCAAAATCCACATCAGAAAACCCTCTCCATGTACATGCAGTTTATTGACACAGAAGAAAACTGTATCTTTCTGCAAGTTAAATTAGTTATGCTAAAAAAGCATGTTTTGTGCTGGTGTGATTCTCAGCACTGCCCTGTGCTGCCCTCCTGCCTTGAGACAGCAGAGCTGAGCTGCTTTTGCTCTGCAGCCACTCCCTGTTTCAGCCCTGTTGGCCAGGTCATTGTTCTGGGCTGTTGGCAGTGTGCACACAGGGACTCAGGCTGACAGAGCAACTCCAGAACAACTCAGGCCAATAAGATCACACTGTATTATAATAATTTCTGTATTTCTTTTTGTAATTCTGGACTTCAACTCTGAAGCAGCAAATCAGGTCCCACTTTATCTTACATGACTGTTTTGGGACTTACTAATCCCACTGAATTTGGCCAAAAATCATCTTCCAAATCTGCCTTGAGTAACTGAAAGTCTGCAAAACTGGCAGTTTTTTTGTCCTTTAAACATTGCCACCATTTCCACAAACGAGAATTCATTTCCTAATTCATTTATGTGTGAAGTCAGCTATATTAGCAAACCTCATTGTCAGCAGCACTCAGAGATGGCTGAGACAAACCAGCGATGGCCTGTCTCTGTATTTGTTCCCCTGTCTCTTGGGAGAGGGCACACTGAGTTCAGTCAAGAGGCTGAAACAGGCAGCTGGAGCACGGGGACTTCTGACGTGGCTTCAGCTGTTTGCAAACTCCACAGTGCAGCTTCCCCGGGATCCCCACTGCAGACCCTGTCACCTGCCTTTGCTGGGGAGGAGCAGTGTCTGCATGTCCCATTCTGCTGGCTCTGCTCTAAGGCACAGTCTCTGAGACTCAAACACTGCTGCAATTTTTTGGTTAGAGCAGCTGTTTCCAAAATGAATGTCTGAGCAGTCATCTACAGAGATGTCCACGTAGCTTGCTTGCCAGTAAAATTACATCAACTTATAAAACAACATGAACTGAGCTGACAGAATGGGGTTTTTTGCTAGCAGCCTGCCCACACCAGAGGTTTTGCTGTCTGAGGAGGTATATGCTTACACAGCTGCTTTGAGGAAACTCCTAACAGACACCAGGTTTTTGTATTAAATAAACCACAGCACAGTTGCCTACATAGGACATGCTCTGCGTGCGTCCTGAGGTGCCAGCCAAAGTCTTGAAGCTGTCAGTCACCTGAGGAACAAACAGCTGGGAAATGCACACAGACAAAAAGAAGCATTGACCCCTTTGTTAACAAACACACTATATTTACTGAAGTACACTTTTGCAGAAGCCTCTTGAAAATTAGATTAATACAGAACTACTAGCAAGAGCAGAATACACAAAAAAGTTTATCAAACGATACCCTGTTGCCATAAGAACAGATAAAAATTATTTGCATGACAAATTGTATGTTTTTAGAGTGTAAGTATGTGTGCTGCACATATATACCTTTTTATAGCCAAACTCCATGAAACATGTTTACTGTTCCATTGTGTTCCTTCTTCATTATTTAGTTTGAAGGAACACAAGTCTTCTGTACCTATATGGCTTTTCAACTGACACACGTGGAGCACCCAGCAGTGGTTACTGCCCCCCCGGAGTCTCCTTGCACAGAACAAACTCAAAGCAGGGGCAGAGCCCAGGCTGTGCTGTGTCCCTGTGCCTAGGTTACCCAAAAGCACAAGGCTTGCCCAGGGACCCTGAATGTTTTCTTTTCTAACAGATAGCACACATGCAGCTTCACCTATGTGGGCTTTCTCAGAAAAATTAATTTATGTAGGGCTTTGACACAGAGCAGCAATGGATCTGGATTAAAAATTACAACATGTGGTATTGTTTCTTTTAACTCATTAGATGCTCATCATCTAAGGGTACATTTAAAAGTGCACTTATTTCTTCTGAGCTATTTGCTTGGGTTTCCACTGAAGTATAGATTGAACTTGCTCCTAGAAAATCCACAACAAGTAGGGTATACTCAAAGTACTGGACTTCAATAAATCCTTCAGTTGAACAAAAAAACTCCGTACTACTCAAAAACATTTGAACAGCATATTAAATTGAGAAAAATAATGTTATTGTCTTACTTTTTTACAAAGGATCTTGTAATAAGAATAAAAAAGTAATGATAAGGAGCCTTCTATGTCACATTAGTGGTTTGGTTCCTATATCACAATACAATCCCATTGTGATAGAAGTGTCTTTGTCTTCTATGGACTTGAACATATTGAATCATTTGTTCTAAAAGCTGGTGGTCATATCCTATTTTTGTGTCCAAAGAAGGAGGTTAGTATTTCTAAATAATAATAACAACAATATGAGAATGTATTCTTACAGTTCTAATCACTTTCAGATTTGTGGAGAAAAATGCTTTAGCCTACACCAAGTGGTACAATAGCAGATAATTGTATTATTCAGTAAAAACTGCAGCTGAAATACATCTCACTGAAGACAGTTCTAGCTGTAATAAATGCTGCTTAGGTTTAGAACAAATGTGCATGTCCTCACAGGATGCCACACTCTCTTATGAAGGTGGTCTAATTAACACAGACGACATGGCCTCATGAATGAGACTGTCAGAGCCTTCCCTTGAACGGGCTTGTCACCCGGAGAGGACTGGAACAGGTAGAGGGGTGTGGGGTGTCTTTACTCAAGGATACAGAGGCCTGGAGGAAGCAAAAAAAGCCCTTTTAAAGGCTGTATGAAAAATCACTCATGTTCAGATCATTAGCTGTGCAATAACCACGTGCACACACAATCTCATATCCAAAGGTTTTAAATCAGGAAACTGCAGGAAAGACAAAAAAGATATGTAATGTCTGCCTAACCCTGGAGAGTGGGTGCTGTGATGAGCACAGCTCTCTGAGCTTGTTGCAGCAAGGAACACAATAAGGAAGCAGCAGGAGAATGGTACAAAAGATAACATGGAAAATTCTTCGGGAAGGGAAGCATAAATAAGTCTCAGGAGTACTGGGTTTCCTGATCAGAAACGCAGCATATATGGGGGAAAATAACAAAAAAAGAACACAAAACAAAGAACAGCAAAGGAAACCCCAAGGAGGAGATCTGCTGAGCCAATGGAAACATGGACAGGAAATGTGAGGAAAAGTAAACGAAAGGGAATATTTGTTGAAGCAAGGCAATCAGGAAGTGCACAGGATCTGTTCCACAGAGCTAGCTGATCCTGATCCAAGTTTGTGTACAGGCTTAAACCACCGCTCTCAGAATCTGCATTACCAGTATTACATGTAACGCTGATTAAGAGACAAATGTGGTTAGGTCAGGCTCAAGTCCTCTGCTGGAGAAGCCAAAAGCAGTTCAGAAAAGTTCATGATTCTTTTTAAGAAATAAGTATGTTCAGAAAAAAAATTACCTCAGACTTTTCTAGTGTAGATTCTGATTTGTGAGGAGGATGTATTCTTATCGATCAGCATAGCCTGGAGTCTGTCCAAAATGCAGAAATAAAATGACAAAATGCATTACTTAAGTTAATGTGTTTGTGTAGCCAACGTGTTATATCTCTGTATGGGTAGTCACAAAAACACTGTATGCTTCCTTCTGTAAAAACCAACAGTGAAGTTGGAAAGTGAATAACATTGTTCTTTATTGACACAGCTACTGAATTTAAGCTGGTCATATCACCATTCAAAAGTTGTTCCAAGTGCACCAGAAAATGAGACAAGATTTAAAAGAAATTATATGTATTAATTGTAGAAAACCTCAGCAATGCATTTGGATGACAGCTCTGGTTTCTAGTATAGACTAAACCAAGGACAAGTGACTGTGAACAGGCGATCAGCAGAGATCCACAAAGCATCACGTCTGCATTTGAAACAGCCCCTACGGAGAGGGAATTAGAAAATACATGATACAGCTTTGCACTGGACTCGTACCTGACAGCAAAGGGCCAAACCTTACCTAAACTACAGCGACGTGGTTACAGTCCATGTCACCACGAATGCTTCATTCCTCCCTCTCATCGCCATAGCATCACTAAATCATGCCATTAAGCTCGTATGCAAACTAAGTTATGCATCATTTTTCTTCCAGAAATTAGCATAGCCTCTGAACTTCCTGAACGATGGTTTTGGAGCAAAGCTCGCTAGCCTGGCAGAGACAAAGCGCTCCGAGGCTCCCCAGGCCCCACGGCCCCGGCGCTCGGGCCGGGCCGGGGCAGCCGCTCCCCGCGGCTCCTCGGCGGGCGCGGGCGCGACGGGACAGGACGGAGTGCGGCGACGAGGGAGAGGAGCAAGGAGGGGAGCAGGAGGGGAGCAGGAGGGGAGCAGGAGAGGAGCAGGGGCAGAGCAGAGGCAGAGCGGGGCGGGCTCCGCGGGGCCCCCGAGCCCGGCCCGAGGGCCGTCCCGCGCCCCAAGTTTCCGCGGCAGTTGCATAACTGCGGGCGGGGCGGGGCCGGGCCGGAGCCGCCGGGGGCGGGCGGGAGGGGCCGGCGCTGCCCCCGTCCCGCCGCTGCCCGGCCCGGCCCGGCCCGGGGGCCGCCCCGCCCGCCCGGGACACCGGCGCTGCTGGCGGGGCCGCAGAGGCGCTGCCCGCCCGCCTCGTCCGCTCCGCTCCCGCCTCGCCCGCTCGGTCCGCGGGTCACGTCCTCGGCGGCGGCCGCCAGCGGGGCCGGCGCCGGTCACCGCCCGCCCGGGACGGTTTGCCCGCCGTCGGGGCGGAAAATGAACCCCGCGGCCGCGGCCCCGCCGCCGGGACAGCAGGTGATCCACGTCACGCAGGACCTGGACACGGAGCTGGAGGCGCTGTTCAACGCGGTGATGAACCCCAGGCCCAGCTCCTGGCGGAAGAAGATCCTGCCCGAGTCCTTCTTCAGGGAGCCCGACTCGGGCTCGCACTCGCGGCAGTCGAGCACGGACTCGGGCGGGCCCCCGCCGCGCCCCGCGCCCGCTCACGTCCGCTCGCACTCATCGCCCGCGTCGCTGCCCGGCGCGGTCGCGGCGCCGCAGCACGGGCACCTCCGGCAGCGCTCCTGCGACGTGACGGACGAGCGGCCGCTGCCGCCGGGCTGGGAGATGGCGCTCACGCAGACCGGGCAGCGCTACTTCCTCAAGTGAGTGCGGCGGGGCCCGGCCGGGGTCGGGGCGGCCGGGCAGGAGCAGCGCTGCGAGGCGGCGAGGGGACCTCCGCGTCCGAGGGGGATGCGGCATCCCGGGAGGAAACTCCTTCCCGGGGGGAAGAGGGAGGCGAGAGAGGGCCGGGGGGCGCTCCCGAAGCCGGCCGGGAGCCCTGCCGTGCCTGTCGCTGCCGTATTCCTTTCGTGCTTGCCCACACGTCCAAGATTCTGAAACCATTTTTTTTTTTTTGAACGAGTTCAATAACAGTTATTCCAGGGAGTTTCCGGCATGTGGGAGCGGGGCTCTGCGTGTCCGTACCTGTCGGAGGCAGCGGGGGCTGTGGCCCGCTCCGGCCTCGGGGTGTTCAGAGCATCCCCGGCCGCGGGGACACGGTCGGAGCCCGCCTTGTTCTGGTGACAGATTTTGAGAAATGTGGTAACACAACTGCCGATATCCCTTCTGGCCGGTCATTTTGGCCAGAGTGCTTTATTTGTTACGTTTGGTATTTGATTCAAAACAGTCTAATAGGCCTGAAAAAATGTAGTAATTGTAATACGTGGTAAGGCAACAGTGCCTTATTTTGGTAGATTCTGTAACTCAGCTCCAGATTCATTGCAAATTAAGTGGCACTGCATTAACCTGGTAAATAATGCAGTGACAAAATGTCTGCTAATGAAATAGAATATTTACTGGTGAAGCTTCTGCCTAAAGGTGTTGAGGGAGTTCCAGGAGGTCATTTCCTTGCTACAGCCTTCTCTGTCAGAAGAGTAAACCACGTTCATATTAAACCACGAGTAGGTATTCAACCATCATAAATGGCTTATAGACAATGTGTGAAGGGAAAGAGAGACAAAACTGTTTAGAAAAATGAAAAAAAGTCATAATTTACATGATTGTATAGTGATTTCTTTGCATCGTGGGTTTGGAATCTCCAACGGATTACTCAAGAGCCCGGTCTTTAAATTACTCTGCGCAGAGTTTAGATTTTTTACTTTTGTCACACTCAGAGCTACCAGCAAAGCACGGAAATACATTTCTGTCTGTCTCTGTATATCGTTTGTGGTACTGAGTGGACATGTCCAAGGGTCCAAACTTAGGAGTTTGTTATTGATCTAGTTTATCACCTGTATGAGAAGATCTTGTGTCTTCACACTTTGCATGTATTTTTCTCGAGAGAACAAGGACAGAGAAATAGGTGACTGACAGGAGCACTGAAACAGACCATTCACAGATAAATATTAAATGTGAATTCTTGCTAGGGTTTGGCTAGGGGGTGTTTTTAGATACCTCTGCCTAAAAATTGCATAACATAATCTTTGTCTGCTCTTTGTTTTTT